TCTTGTCTCGGTCTCGCACGTTGAGGACTTGGGATTTTATTTCAAGGCCAGTCAAGAGGAATACCAATAAATTGCTTTTGCATTGTCTGATATATTTGTTAATATCCTAACTTTCATTGGATGTAAAACATATTGCTTCAAATGCAAACAATAACCCTAATTAAAAATATATTGTTACCGTAACAACCGTTCCCCTTCCCCGCGATGGTCAGCATGGAAAAGAAGTGTTGAATAAAGATGCTTACGTTGATTTCAGCTCTTAGTGTTTGTTTGGGGGTGTTTTAGGATGCTTTCACACCTGCCTCATCTATTTCAGTTGAATCGCACCAGAGTTTGTTTTCCACCTTGGTGCGGTTCGTTTGGGCAGGTGTGAATGCAGCAATCACACTCAGGTGCGCACCAAAAGTGGCGCAAACACGCGGACCGAGGCCTCCTCTTCAAGGTGGTCTCAGTACAATTTCAAACGAACTCTGGTGCACTTCGCTTGTGGTGAGAAAGGAAACCAACCAACCACAGGACTTTATGATAGCAGAGATGTGATCTGTGCATTATTTCCAAAGGTAAACCTCTAATAATCCATCAGCTGACCGCGAAATGTGTTCAGCTATCTTATAATTGATTTGTATAAGCCGCTATGTTTATGAAAATCATTTGGTAACGTTTACTTGTCAGCGTGGGTATTTCAATTTTCCCTGGTTAAAATATGTTAAAAAAGGAGAGCAAATAGCACTCCGTTTACCATGTCCATAAAACATCTGCGACAGCAATACCACAGTAGGCTATACAATAGGCTAATAAGCCCCGAATTATTACTGTACATGTCCTGTTTTTACATTATTATTCATAACAGGCTATGCAGTCGATATTCTGCCTAACATAACTAATCATGCTTATAATAAATGATTACTTCGTGAGCTCTTAGCGATACAGATCAGAAGCAGTAAAGTTCTGCATAAACTTCTGTCAGTCACTGGAGTTTGATTTCCCCACGTGGGTCCTGATGATGCAGGATAACAATCGCCAAAGCTGTCCAATCGCCAAGTTACCTGTAAGTCTGTGTAACGTCATGGTTACTTCTCTTGGTTCGTTTGTAAACCTGCAGTGTGAACATGAACTGGACCAGAACTGAAATGCAACAGTGTATGCCCTTGATCTTTCAGATCAATTTGAGAAGTACCTATGATCTTGTTCCACATTTTATTGTGTGTCATGTAATGTGGGGAACTGGTCTTGGTCTCGACTTGGTCTCAACCCCTAAAAGTCTTGGTCTTGTCTTGGTCTCAATAAACTCTGGTCTTGGTCTTGACTTGGTCTCGGTTTGGGCAGTCTTGACTACAACACTAATCCAAACAGTCTTGAGAAATCTGCGAGTGAATGAGGATCACAATAAATCATTAACAAAAGGGTGAGACCTCAAGCCAACAGCCACAAACTTCCTCCAGTCAAAGAACTAGTTAATTTTAGTCTGCGTGAATTGAACTTTGGGCTACCTCTTGTGAAATGTGAACCTGCACAACACTGACCACTATCCCCTGCAATCCATATGTACACTCTGACAAGCTGCTGAAGATATTCATAAAGAGAGGAAATGGAGAAGTAAATCTTCTGCATTTAAAACATCCAAACACCATATTCACAAACTGCAGAGGCAAACTTGCATCTAATCTTGACTCTGAAAACCCTGCAGTTGCCAACTGTCATTGTGCCAGATTTTTGTGCCATCTGGCCAGGGATATAAACCAGCAACCTTCAGCCTACTAGTCTGCTTCTCAAACCTCTGGGCTATTGGCACCAGCCCTAACACAGCAGGCTAAAACCAGCCCTGGCACTAGGTGGAATACTAAAGCAGAAGTACATAACCATTGATCAAGACATTTCAAACAAAAATGTTCTCGGTCAATCGTTATATCAATTATATTAGGGGAATCATTTCAATTTGGCTTTATTGTTGCTGACTTGCTCTCCAAATCCCCACCATCTGTCATCCCTGCCTCCTTGCTCATCACACCTGTTGTCAAAACGGATTGTCACAGGTGGAGAATGACTTCCAATTATGATATGATTAAAATAGTGGTATTACCACCACTGCATGACACTTTGAACTACTAGATGTAAACACACCTACCCACTGCTTTATCCTGAAGCCAATTAAGTACATGAATCCAACAAAGGCAAGATGTTCCTGAACAAAACCTAATTAGTGCTTGCAATGTAGGCAAGCAAAGAGTTAATTGGTTATTAAATTGCCTGAGTTATGCTGTAAATAGATTTCCTCTTCTTTTCTGTGTGCCTTCATACCACTGCGTAAGGTAAGATTCTGTTTATTTAATTTGGAAATGTGTAAATAAACCTTGAACTCCCCAATGTAATTACCTTTACATTAATTAGCTTGTGCTTTCATATATAGAAACATTAATATACATTTTGTTCACTCAACCTGCTCTGATGTAGTCATGTATACAGTGTGAGATGTGTGTGAGATGGAGCATTGCACTGCATCAAGCCCACCAATGCCCTGCCCACCCCCCCACTAGGCACTGTGTTATAATTAAAAATGTTCTTCTCGCTCCAGGACCATCTTTCTGCTCGCTCAGACTGGAAACACATATTGCACTGCCTAATTTGAGATGATTTGTCAAAGTTTTCTCATGCTGTGATATTCCAACACAACGGCCCTAATCTGCCCTAAAACATTTGAGGACCAAGGCTTTGGCAGTAATTCACTATCCAGATTCATAAGCACACACTCAGAGGGGAGATGTTGTGGTAAATCCTACCTGTGGAAAACACTTAACAGATGGCCTTTGCACTCACTGCTGGTGGATTTTGTCTCACACTCTCTCTCTCTCTCTCTCTCTCTCTCTCTCTCTCTCTCTCTCTCTCTCTCTCTCTGCCTGCTAAGAAATGGTCTTCTGTCATTCTGAGTTTGTGGTTTTCAAGTTTCTCTGGCAGTAATTTACAAAAGAAAACATTTTCTTTTTGTCTTCCCTCAACGTGTAGCCTGGTTTAAGACCTCTGAATTAACCTCTAAATCACTGCTTACAGTACATCTCTAAAATTGTTCAGCAATTCAAACAGGTCTTATGTTGCGTCCGTTGTTTTCTTCAGTTAGAGAAACTGTTGACGGTTTACAGCTCTGTATAGGCATAATTAAGATTGGTATATCAGGAACACTTTCCAGGGCCTGCTTCAACCTGCAAGGCAACGGTCAATTACCCTATGGGGGTAGCTGAGCTGTCACTGCTGTTAGCATGTTTACTTTGATGTTACAAGGGATATCTTTTAGCAAGTACTGATATAACAGACACAAAATGGCACAAAATACACAGCTGTTTGTATTCAAAAATGAGGTTCTGAGTTGCCTGAATTGTGAATACAGGAAAGTTTCTCACACCCAAGAGGTGAATTAAAGTTTAAGAGAGAAATGCAATCTGCAATAACTAAATTTACTATTTGCCGATTTCACACAGATCAGAATGTTTTTGTCACGTCACCTCTAGCGCAGACACAGGGATACACAGGGGACTGAACCCAGACGCAGAACACTGAGACCGAGCAAGTTCAATGTTTTAATAATAACCAAAAGGTATACTGGCTTACAGTGAGGTAAAGCAGGCAAGGGTCAAAACAGACAAGCAGTCAAAAACCAAGGCAAACTTATCCAGAAGAGAGCAGGCAAAAGCAAAATTTGATCCCAAAAAGGGAAGCAAATGGGTTAGACAGTATATACACAAGAGAGGGGCAGCTAACTATGCATAGGTGAAACTCTTTGGGCAGGGTAGACAGTCAAACAACACAAAACACACAAAAAGCAGGAAGTAAAGTACACAAGAAACACGAGGAAGGATAATTAAAAAAGAAAACCCAGGAAATAACCAAAACTCAAACCCAAAACCATGACAGATTTGTGTTAGCAGTGGTAGCCACTGAAGTTCCAGTTTAGTATAAACACCTTTAAATGATACCTAACTCAAAATCTAATATCAAACAAAACACGTATTCTCAGCAAACAAATATGGATAGATACTTAGTTGCCATTTCGAGCTTACATGATAAGATGTTTGTTTTTTGCTTTTTGGCATCTTTTGCTGAACATTTGCTGAGTAAGGAACACATTGAGCAGCAGATAAGTGGATTATGCAGCAGAAGTATAGTTTCAGTAGCTTCTATAGATGTTTTGATACTTTTTCTCTTCTGTGAAAACTTGTAGATTGGAGTACATTGTAAATAAAATGTGAATTTGCAACACATCCTCATACCTAAACAACAAAATAGGTAGGTTATCAAGTGTCCCAAAAAACATTCAAGACTGTCTTATAAAACAACATATATAGCCGTTGACATATAAGACTGCTTCCGAAAACGACACATATGAGCATTTCACGTATCCGTCCAGCAACACGCATACATCGTTAACATGATGTTTAACACGTGGTAAACGTTGTGAAACAATCATAGTTTGGATAGTACTACTTAACCAACTACTTGGTTAGGTTAAGCAAGAGATCTGGTTTGGGTTAAAATATGTACATTATACATGTCACGTGACGTAGGTCATCCACAAAACGTTATTTAACTTACTTACTTTAACTTACTCACCATTGACTGACAAACCTCAGTCTCCTACGTGGAAGTCCTCAGTTTACGTGACTAATCATCTTTCACCCCCTTTAAAACCTACAGTGGATGAGTGCTTAACACTAAATTGCTACATTTTGCAAAATGGATAATTGTAAGACTTTGTGTGTGGGTGTTTTAAGCTATATCATTGCATAAATCATTATGTTGCAGTTATTGTCATGTCAAACATGGATGAATGTCTGAACCACAGTTCATTAATCTTTCACACACTGTGTTTGACCAATATTGTGGCTTTATTTTAAGTGACACTGCTAGTCAAAATCTTACAGAACAAATCTTAACGGATTTTATGTATATTATTAGCTGATTTACTAAGATATCAGTTCCAGCTTTAGTGTATCTAATGTTGCTCTAAGTACCTTGGTTTTGTCGTACAGGGCGTGGTTGTCCAAAAGCATCCGCCGCTCCACTTGAGCGAACCTCCTCAGGTCTCTCTCAAACTGCTGTGGAAGAAAAGAACCAATGGTCTGAAACCAAATATCTGTTTTACTTGTCTGTTTATATGGCATTGAAAGGAAAAGGTAATGCCAGACTGTATTTGTCTTCCTGAAGGACTTAATACCTATTTATCCCATAAGAAAGAAGCTATTTGATATCAAACATTATAGATATTTTTATACTATATTGTACGCTTTCATGTGACATTGTATTATTTCTTTATCTTTGAAGTTTCTTTGAAGGTGTTTTAGTTGTCTAAAATGTTTGTCTCCTTATAACCAGACTCCTATTTGGCAAAATAAAGTCTACAGGGACCTTTCCCTTGATGTTGTTCTTGTATCCAAGCAACAGTTTACTACAGTGTTGGCACATACAAGAAATGATAGATCACGAAATACAGTAACTACATTTTTCCTTTTTTTTACCCATGGATTCTACCTGCAGCTACTTCACATTGTCATTCAGTCTGTATAATACTTCATACCCTGGAGCCAGTCCAGCCCAGGAGAGCAAAGGCGTAACGATCCATAGGTGGCGACACCAAGTCCACGCGCACTGCCCTCCAACCCCTGCTGTCCCCCTCTGCTCTGTGGAGACCTCCCTCCACGTGGCTGCCCTCCAGGCGCAGAATCAGGAAGCACTTTGCAAAGTGGTCCATGGCCTCAAACCTGTGGCAGGGAAGCTTCGACATATCAAAGGTGGAAGCCTGGTAGTCACTGTAGAGCAGAATGCCCTGTTGAAGACAGAAAAATGAAGTATTTTAGCGTGGATATTGGTTTATTGGATTTTATAGATATAGATTTTTTTCTTTACAAAATGTTTGCCTCTACTATTATCAGCCTCTCTGTCTGTCCAAGATACAAACATGTCTGTAGAATATGCTCTATAACCATTGATAACAGAATGATTTGTACCACTCATAGCTCAGATATAAACATTTAAGTCATGCAATTGAAATTATGAAAAGGACTTTTCGCCTTTGGTCTTTCCTTTAAGGAGGACAGCCGGTCTATCTTTCTCAAGCTAGCACTCAGGGGCCCTGACAGCGAAATCCCGGTCACTTTTCATCTTTAGCCCAGACTTCAGAGCTGCCAAAAAGTGCCCTATCTGGGGATCAGAGCCTGCACACTGGCTCATAGAAGGTTAAAAGTACTGAAGCGTAATCTGCAAACAAGGTGTTGATCAGCCTTAAATGTATCTAATAACTCTGTACTTCCATTCCAAAACTGACACCAAAGTAAGGATGGAGTAATGTGTTCTCTGAGGATTTAGCCAGACCTGGGTCATGCCTTGTTAGCATTATCAATATCAAAAGCCTGCATGTTTATCTGTGTCACTGAACGGCAGGAACCACATAATTTTTTTATTTGTATTTGTAAGAGACTTTAACCTTGGATCACACAGCTCAACTACAGTGAATTGATTCAAGTCATGGCTTGGTGTTTTTGGTTAGGGGACCGTCAGATTCACTTTTCTCCATGCAATCAAAACAATTTTATTGTCATAAATTAGCTGCAGAACGTTTAATGACATTCAGTCTTTACATCTGCCACCAAATGATGTAAGTATATGTGAAGGTGTTGCTAGAAGAATTGGCTGAATATTGTCAGTTTAGTAATAATTGCCTGTCTGGCAGAAAAGGATGACTATTGCTCTGCACTGTCTGAACTGAGCTTTTTAAATACACCACACCCTTTTTTCTGTTATTTGACAGGTTGGATTAAAGTACAGCCACAGAGAATCCAGCCACATATCTGAAACCTGGTAAAAAAAAAAAAAAAAACCTTGAAGCAAAATGCTGTAATTTAATGCAGCAATCCTATCAAAGAGCACCTCCCTGTTTCTGGATCCATCATAAGATCATTTAAAATCTTTACATAGATCGTCTTACAGAAACGTGACTGCAGTTCTTGCAAAATGTTATTGCTTTCTATGAATGCTGCAACTTTCTTGAAAACCAGATTCTTCATATTCTCTGTGATAAAAGGAAGTTTAGAGGTATTGAAAATGGTTAAGTCAAGGTTTCTTTAAACGAGGTTGGGTATTTGCCATCTTAAAATAGTGAGCCCAGGAAAGAGAGGAATTTTCTGGGGATGATCTCAAGTGGATAGGTCTAAATAGGGGTCCATTTGTGTACCACTCAGTGGTACATTTTCTTTTCTTTTTGTTTAGCTTTTTCTTTTGTTTAGCTTGTTTTTATGCCAACAGGCTAAACTAGGATGTTGAACATGATAAAGAATATACCTGTTAACATTGTCATTGTGAGCATGTTAGCAAGTTGACATTAGTAACCAGCTTCAAAAACCACTGTGCCTAAGTACCAGTCTAACAAAGCAGCTAGCATTTAGACCAGTGGTGGGCAAATAGCGGCCCATGGGCCAAATCCGACCCTCCAACAGAAATATTTTGTGCTCCAAGGCACCCCAATGAAGTCACTTTTATAGTTTGTATCAAAACTTTTCCCTCATATTTCATAAATCTCCTATGGGTAACAATGGAAATACAAGGCACATGTAAATCGCAACGTGACACTGTAACGTCTAATTAATAATCAATGTATTTACACTCACTGTCCTCTTTATTAGGTACACCTGCTTAATTGCTTGTTAACACAAATAGCTAATCAGTCAATCACACGGCAGCAACTCCAGGTATTTAGGCATATAGACGTGGTCAAGACAAGATGCTGAAGTTCAAACCAAGCATCAGAATGGGGAAGACAGGGAAATTCAGTGACTTTGAACGTGGCATGGTTGTTGTTGCCAGACGGGCTGGTCTGAGTATTTCAGAAACTGCTGATCTGCTGCAATTTTAATGCACAGGGGTTAAGAAAGAGAAAATATCCAGTGAGTGGCAGCTGTGTGGACGAAAATGCCTTGTTGATGTCAGAGGTCAGAGGAGAATGGGCAGACTGGTTGGAGATGACAGAAAGGCAACAGTAACTCAAATAACCACTCGTTGCAGCCAAGGTATGCAGAACACCTCTGAACGGACAATACGTCGAACCTTGAAGCAGATGAGCTACAGCAGCAGAAGACCACACCGGGTGCCACTCCTGTCAGCTGAGAACAGGAAACTGAGGCTACAATTTGCACAGGTTCCCACATTGGACAATAGAAGATCAGAAAAACGTTGTCTGGTCTGATGAGTCTCGATTTCAGCTGCGACATTCAGATGATAGGGTCAGAATTTGGCGTATACAACATGAAAGCATGGATCCATCCTACCTTGTATCAACGGTTCAGGCTTGTGGTGGTGATGTGTGAGATATTTTCTTGGCACACTTTGGGTTCCCTTAGTATAAATTAAGCATTGTTACTTTCTGCAGGTGTTTCTGGCTCTGGAGCTGTGGAGTCTGGATCTGTAGTTGCGAGTCACCTGCTGCTACAATTATTGTTACTAATCCTGTTGTTATTATTATTGTCTTTAACATTATGATTATTATCATTAACACTACTATAAATATCTGTACCATTATTCATTCACTCTATAGCAACATCACCTTTACTGTCTGTACCTCTGTGTGTATATTGTGTAGGCTGCCTCCCTCCCCTCTCTCTCTCCTAGTGCTTGCTCTTGGTGGGAACTGTTGGGCTTCTGTAAATAACATCACAGAGTACGGTCGAGACCTGCTCTTTTATGAAAAGCGCTCTGAGATAACTGTTGTTGTGATTTGGTGCTGTATAAATAAAATTGAATTGAACTGAATTTAAACACACCAGCCTACCGGAGTACTGTTGCTGACGATGTCCATCTCTTTATGACCACAGTGTTCCCATCTTCTGATAACTACTTCTAGCAGGATAATGCACCGCGTCACAAAGCTCAAATCATCTCAAACTGGCTTCTTGAACATGACAATGAGTTCACTATACTCCAATGGCCTCCACAGTCACCAGATCTTAATCCAGTAGAGCACATTTGGGATGTGGTGGGATGATCAGGACATTTCAAGTCTAGTCTAGTGCAACTCAAGGCATCCATTTAGCATACTTGAATATTTTTGACCAAATAAGTAGGAACATTTGCTGCTGTTAGCCCTTACTTATTAATGGTTCAAATAACCTCAGATAAATTCCTAAAACAACCATATTTATAAGGAAATATTTTAAAATGTACTGAGAAAATAAAAAATTAATATTGACAATATATCGGGCTAAATGTTATTGATTAAATCAATAACAAAGTAAACTTGATTTGTTAAATTAAGCGGTGGAGGTATCTATGTAAAGAACAAGGGTCATTCTGAGTGTGACACATGGACACATGCATCTGGGATAAAGCACCAGTCAGTCAGAGCGCAGTGGCCCTACAAATGAGAAAAGAGGTAGCCATAGGGCCATAGATGCCATTAACAGGACATGGACCTCTGTGTGAACATCTGCTCAGACTTGTCAACAGTCTAATTTGAGCCCAGAGTGGTGAAAAAAGGGAATGCCTGAGTGTAAGATCCAATAGAGAGACGAGCCTCCAGTCAGCCATGGTAGATGGCTGAAGTCAATTCCCTGGTAAATACTCCCACTCCTTAGATAATGGAAATCTCTGCCAACTGAGATGTCAGTGTGTGGAAGAGAGAGGAGAGAGGGCCACTGATGAGAAACAAAGCTGCAAGTGTAGAAAAGAGTCAAAATGGAGTGAGTGCAAGACAGTTAGAGAATAAAGCATTCAACCTGTAAGAGAAAGTAAGAAATGGGTGGACAAGTAAGATAGAAGGAAAGACACAAAAGGAGAAAGAAGAAAAAGACAAAAGAGAGCCTGTGAATTGATTTCCTCCAGGCCTCGCCCTGGCTGATTATGCTTCTCCCTGGATGCGGGAGTGTTAAAGCGATTAAGATTACAAATTGTCAATTTAATTCCAGTGCCCGGTGTAATTGTTGGGATACTACTCTCCTCTCACTGGCCATAAATCTGTTGCACTCCCCTTAAAGAGCAATAATTGGGGAGGCAAGTGCAGCGTGCAGCTACTCTGCCTGTCCAGCCAGTGACTGAGGTTAATCACAAAACATTAAACACCTAGTCAGCATAGCCCGAATAGCAGCTACTAAACAGTCCTGCCCGACCGTCGAACAGTTGTCAGACGAGGACAGAGCTTCCCAGAGGGTACAGAGGAAGGTAGGTAGCGAGCAATCTGAGGTGGTGACAGTGAAACCCCTTGAGTTACACACGTGGAGAAGATCTCAAAGAAATAGCCATCCTCCTCCTCACTTTTCCTCCTCTGATTTATCTTTAGGGGTGGACTGGTTTGTCGCGCAATTGCAGACACCCTCCGCTGCACCCCTGGACCGCTCTCCCTCTGCAATTACAGATAACCATTCACCTTCCAATAATAGGCAGGGAGAGGGATTCTTGAAGTTCCCTTTACATTCAGTAATAGCTTAGCTAAAGGCAGTGACAGTTCCCACTTAGATAATGAGGCCAGAATGGCAGCATAAAAGCACTTAAACACTGACTAATCTGAAATTAAAATCCCCGCAAGCCACACTTGAGACAAGTTGTGGGAGAAGGTCTGCAACCCGTCTCATACACAAGGCCGCATACGTAGGTCCCTTCTTATTCTGGCAGATATTTCAGCTCCTCCTGGCAGTGCATTTCTTTCAGCCTTGAATCACTTTCATCCCTTCAGAGAAAAGTATTAATGAGTTATGGTGACAGTTGCACAGACCATTAAGTTCCTGAATATGGATGCCCTTCACTCACTGAGGTTCGCGGCCCTCTTGCCTACACGCATAATGT